CACAGATCTTTTACAAATTTGGATTTATTTTATATATTGGATTCTTTATAAAGCAAGATCAGCATAAAAATTTTCGGCAAGTGGCGCAGCACGTGATGTCTCTAGATGATTCGCACCATACTACATTGATCTCGAACTTAGCAATTTTTTTGTTAAGACTAATTTATGTTTATACAAATAATACAACTAATCATCAATATCTGATTTCATAAAGACCATAATCCTTGATTGTTGCTGTTGCTACTGATATTGTCTCACACAGTCTGGATACCACCGCCAATTCATCCTTTCTCTTTAGCTTCCCTTAATGTTTCCATCAACTCCTCTATAATATCTCAAGGTGTTGTATTCATGTTGACCCTTTTCTAAAATAGTCTGCATACCCATATGAATCTGCTGACCTCAACTCCATCACCTTTCCCTTCCTCTTAATACCTCACTAGATCCTCATTATTGACTCCCTCTTTCCTTCTAAATTAATAACCTATTTATTCTCATAGGCCTCTTATGCAGACCACAAGAATATCCTCATTTCCTCAGTATCCAACCTTAACAATGAGCAAATTTTTCTAATTCCCACCAACTTCCTCCGACTCCAATTCAGATCCTCCCCCATTATATGTAATAACATCACTTTCTTAGTGTTTGTTTAATTCTCTTTATTTTTATTTTTTATTTCTGTTAAATCAGAAAGAAGTTGGAATGTTAACGACAAATAAAATTTTTAAACAACAAACCCCAAAATAATGAAATGGGGTTCCTGGTATAATTCGTTGTGATCAACGTCACGCCTTTCCATAAAAATCTCGATTTTTTCCACCGCGCGATTTTTTTTAAAAAAAATTATCACGTTAATTGAATTGCTATCCCTAACTGTTTCCATGTCATGAGGAAACAATAAATAAATAATTTCTACCTTAATTTGATAAAATTAAATTGTAGCATCGTACATAAAATAGAATTCATAAAATGCTGTGTTGCTCTATGGTACGTGAAGTTGTATAGTCTAGTAGCTATTTACATCATGGAACTTTTATATTATACAAAGCTTGTATAGAACGCATTTTCTTATACTAATATAATAAAGTTGAAGCAATTATACAATTTTGTTTAAAAACTGATATAATAATAATAAAATTTTTTTTATATATTCTGATTGGCTAATTTGAATCTCATGTAAGTGAATTGGAAAATTCACATAAATTTTCATTTTCACGCACAACATATATATACACGAAAATTTTTATTTTGGACAGAGATAATTAATCTTTTAGAAGATAAACAGTTTTTATTTAGCATAAATAAAGATGCCATAACAAAATTATTATTATTTAAACCTTAATTCAAATTCTTTTCTTAAGTTCTAATTCATATCTTTCCAATTCTCTAGTCTTTTACATCCAATTCTAATTCTTTTTGATTTATTTCGAGTTCTTTTTCTTTAAAATCAATTCTATCGGCTCTTGTCTTTTTATTGTTGCTGATATTAGTAGTATATACTTATGTCTATTATTGACTTTTGTATCTTTGATCAATTAATATTAGTCTTCTTCAGAAAAAAATAAAGTAAACAACTCGTTGAATAGATCTTGTTGTTCAAGCCTCAAGCCCATTATTCTCCCGGTGGTACTAACGCCAACATTATCAGTTACATGAAATGAGCATTTCACTACACAGTTTATAAGATGTGTATATAATAAAAATATTATCAGTTATATAATGTTGTTTATTAAATATATAAAATCAAACAATAGTAATATTTACTGCAAAATGGCAGCATTTAAAGACAGGTTTTTTCCATAACGATTTGCTCTTGCATGAGAATATTCAGAGGCATTGGTATAACGGGCTGTCATGTTCCAACTATCAGGTGAAATTTACAAGACAGCATTATTTAAGAGTTTCCATGTAAGCTATGGTCTTTGTATTTAGTCCTGACGTAAATAATGCAACTTCTTTTAATACTTTGTTAATAGAATTATTCTAAATAAAAAAAAGGATTAATTTATTTAACCAATTAAATTTATTTAATCATAATCAATGCCAAAACCTTTCAATCTTTTCCAAATCTATTGGAAATTCATCAGAATTATCAAAATCCCATTCATAATAATCGAACAAAGATTCATCTTCCATCATGATAAAGAATTTTATTCTAAAATCTTTGAATAAGATGAAATATTTGTTTTGTTTGACGTGCATCATTTTTTTTTTTTGGTCTTTTTTTTTAAGCTCTTTGGTTTACAACTCGGATCATTAAAATATTATAAACACTACTATTTATTATATTTATACCAATTTAATTCCTCACATATAAATTGTATTGTATGGCATAAACCAGCTACCGGACTATACAACTTCACGTATCATACTATACTAAATAAATGTATACTCCATAAAATGTCGTAAGCAATTTGAAAGACGATATCAACTTGAAAATAGTTGTCAACTTGGTATATCCAATTCTATTTAATTATTAAGGTCAAGAATCACAAAACATATTTCTACCTGATATCAAATGCCATAAACTTGACTTTGTTTTTTCTATCAAAATTTTCAGGTTTTCAAAGCATGTTCAACTGTTATGTCAGAGATCAGTGCGATCGCTGATTGTTGTAATCCTTGCCCCTTGTTGGCACGCTAAAATTTTATACTAATAAAATTTTTACGTGCAGCCTTGTTTAAGTAAAAAGCATAAAACTAAATAAAAAAGCATAATTAAAAAAAGTCAAATTCAATATTATCATTAAGAATGTAACAACATCAATAGTAGTAATAGTAACAGTTACTGTTGATACCTCATTCTCAATAAGAAATATAAGAAGTCTATTTTAATCAAATAGAATTGATTAAATCCAAATAATATTACTCTAATAAAAACCAAAGTAGAACGTGCAAGTGATTTTTTTCTATACTGCCCAGTTTTATTCGCGTTTTTCTTTTGGTATTATTACTTTAAATTTTTTAATCCGTGTCAAAATCCAATATAGGGTGTGAAAAATTGTTTGGCTTTTTAACGATAGAAATTGCGTGTTTTGTTTAAAAATTAACCAATGATATCTCCGCCTCAGGGTGATCTTTACTAGACGTGTAATTAATCATCTATCTTTGAAATCTATTTTGATAAATTTTGAGCAGAAGCAGCTCAAGTGCAATATATAATATATTTGATGATTTATCACCAACTGATCCACATGATCCCAAATCTGTGTTATAAATGACCTTCTTCCATTAACACCTTCCATTATGTAAATTAAATATTTTTTATGTATACAATATAATGCGTCACATAAACCTTTAAATATTTAATTTGAATCTTTTTTTAACCAAACTCTTAAATTTCCTTTATTAACCATTTCCTTTATTTGAGAGTTTGGTTATACCATACATGGAAAAATTGCAAATGATTTAACTTTATAATAATTTAAATTCAATTCCTGAAGATAAATATAAAATCATTTAATTTACAAGTGAAATTTTGATTTACTTGGTCTAATTTGTTTCAACCTTGTGAACAAGGCAGCAGATTTAAAATTTGAGCTCTTCCCTCTTCGCTCGCCGTTACTTGGAGAATCCTTGTTAGTTTCTTTTCCTCCGCTTATTGATACACTCAATCTCGGCGGGTATTCTTGTCTGATTTGAGGTCATTTGTTAGTCACTCTATCTTTAAATAAAAAGACTAACCTCATTGAAAAAAGGTTTTCAAGATTTTTAATATTATATCTTTATGTCCAAAATAAATAAGATTCTTTTTGTTTTCGTCACAATCGATAAATATTTCCTTTCATCTGCACAGCTTTATAAATTGAACTGAATCCACCTTCTGTCAGCTTTGCTACATCTTGAAGTTGTTCAAAAGGTATCCATTTTATAATTTTATGCAAGTATTTGACATTGTTGTGTAAAATTATCAATTATGACATTTCGACAGATGTCCAAGTTGTATTTTATAATCTCTCGGTTCGCCCGATTTATAGACTATCTTCTGACAATTCCTTGTTTCCGTTAACTACTTGTAAAAAAATAATTATAGATGTCCTAATAGTTGAACAAACATTATTGTGCATTTTTATTAAGTTCAAATAATGCGTTTTTTATAATATTAAAAAAGCCCAAGAAAAGTGTAACTCTGTATGTTGCACATTGTTTTTAGTTAAAATTCAGCCCATTTGATATAAAATTTAATTCATACATTCAATAATCAATCCATCTGAAAGTCAATCTTTTGATTGTGACTTTTTCTTGTGAGTCAATTTTTGACTCGTGTAACGAACAACTTTATTATATATATTGAAAAATGTGTAAAAAAGAAATTTATTTATTTTTTGTTTACACATGTTTGAAATGAGTAGTAGCATTAAACAATTTAGTATTTCTTTAAATCAATATAATAATAACAGTAATAACAGTAATAATACTAACAGCATTAGTGGTAGCAACATTAATAGTGGTAATAGTGAGTTTAAAGCATTCCAAATTGCATTAACAGAAGCAAAACCATTACCCCCTTCTTCCACCATTCTTCAAATAACTAACAATGACAATAATGTTATTAGACAAGAGAAGCAATCAACTGTTAGTAACACTACAACAATCACCATTACTAACAATAACAATAACATTAATAACATTAATAATGATAGCATTAATAACAGCAACGACAACACAATTCCTCCTATAATCAAACTCCCTAATACCACTATTATACCCAATAATAACAATAATAGTAAGAATAATACATCTATTCCAATTTCAATAATAACACAAAAAAAAACCATAATCAAAAATTCAGATTCACACCAACATAAATGTTCACCTCCAATTACTATTACTACTACCCCCACCACCACTACAATAACCACTAATGCAAACACTAACATTAACAACACTTGTTTAAAACCTTTATTACCACGTCCACCTGTTCCAACTATAACAGCAAAATGTCGTCTACCAACACCACCGCTTCACACGCCTCCACCTTCTCAAAATCAATTATTAATATTAAAACAATCACCGTCACTGTTATCAGAACAACAACAGAAGCAAGCATCACCACCATCATCATCATCTTCCAAATTACCAATAACACCAAAAGAAGATGCTTCTTTACCAACATCACCTTCATCATCTATCACCGCTACTATTGCCAATAACATTGCCACCGTCAATAACAATAACAGTAATGCATCAACTTCTGATTTAATGCCAATACTTTTGCAAGCGGCTGCTCATGTTACAGTACGTGATAAACGTCAAGAACGTATGGTGAAAAATCGTGCGGCTGCTTATGAGTCAAGGAAAAGGAAAAGAGAAGAGGCAGAACGATTGATGGCAGATAATATTGAAATGAAATCAAAGATTTGTAATTTGGAACATAGAATTAATGAATTGTTGAAGGAAAACGAATTTATTAAACAATTACTTTATGATAAGGAAAAAATTATACAAGACTTAAATAATTCAAATTAATCAAGTTGTTTTTTGATGAATGTAAATATTATTTATAAATTATTTTTATTCTTGTATTATAATTAATTATTTAATATTTATTACTATTTATTATCTGTTACTATTTATTATATAATAGATGCTCATTATTTATTTTGTAACATATACATATACATATTATATAATTATCATTATTCAAATATTTTAAATATAATTTTTTTATACACAATAAAAAAATTTTCATAAATAAAAATACATTAATTAATTAATCATTCCAAATTAATAATAGTGATAAAAATAATCTTCTTTAAACAATATTTATTTACTCATAATCATGTCGTCGAATTTTTTGATTACGAGAAAGTCGCCTCTGATGTTGCTGAAGTTGGTGTTGCTGAAATTGGTGTTGCTGAAATTGGTGTTGCTGAAATTGATGTTGTTGAAATTGATGTTGTTGTTGTTTTTGTATATGTATGATATTACTACTAATGCCTAAAGGCACATCATCATCATCATCATCATCATCATCATCAGCATATCCATAACCTTCATTATAAAAATTTCTTTGCGAATTTATAGGTGCCAAATCATAATGTGGTTGATTAGAAATAAATCTTGATCTAAAATCACTTCCACCACCACCATTACCAGGTCCACCAGGACGATTATACAGACTGTGATCTCTTTCAGCGATCAATAATTGTTGCCGTTGTTCCATTAATCTATGTTCCCGCTCTCGCTCTCTTTCAGCTTCTGCTTGACGCGCTAACACTCCTTGTCCTTGTGATCTTCTACGAACCTCTATTGCAGCAATTGCTCCAATCAAACCCGTTTGTGGACCTTTAGGTTTCTCTGGTAGATTAATTAGTGGAGAGCCAGTTTCGCGTGCAAGAAGTTCTTGTTCGCGTGCTGAAAGATGCCCATTAGAAAGATATGACAATGGCCTAAATTGATTCGGTGATGTTGGTCTTGAGTGTGGATTGAAATTATTAAAATTAAAATTATTGTTGTTGCCTCCTCTTACATAATGATTAGGATTAATATTCTCATCCATCAAAACTGCTAAAGGTTCTTCATCTGAAGAAGAACTATTAAATTTATTATTATTATTATTATTAGATTCCTCTTCTTGATTACTATTTTGATCATCGCTACTACTTGTATCACTTGATTTATTTACAAGTATTTGATTTGTTGGAATAATTTTTTTGTCACTTTTCTTTGTGGGCTTAAACACTTTCCTTGGTCTATTCATAATATTATCAATATCTTCCTCTTCGCTGGTTTCATTCTCCTCTGCTACTATAATTTTCGATTTCTTTTTAGTATTATTATTCCTAACATTTGAATTATTGTTAATAGTATTTGGATTTTTATTAATAATTTTTGAATTTAGAGCTAATGAACCAAAATCTATATTTAAATCTGTAGTCGATAAGTTGATTAGACGACCTCTTAACAATATATTTTCTTTGTTATTTTTATCATCATAATCGTCGTCGTCGTTGTCATCGTCGTTATATTCAGAGTAATTATCATTATCACTACTTTCGGAAGATAATTGTGGCACTATTTTTTTTTTATTCTTTTGTTGTATTTGTTGTCGTCCTGGCTTGCTTTTTAATTGAATAGGGGAGTTTTTATTTTTATTATATTTAATTGCTACAATATTTTCTTCTTTATCGTCGTCTTCTTCTTCCTCGCTATCTGATGGAAGTTGTGCTATTCTTTTATTCTTTTTTTTGAAGGGAATTTTTCTTTTAGGCTTTGAATTTTTTTCTGACGTTGGTGCTGGTAGTACTGATGTTGACATTCTTATAGTTGTAGTATTATTGGGCTCATAGGTTAAAAAACCGTAATCTGTAGCTTCAAGTGTTTTCATTTTTATAAAAAAATTATTTAATTTAATTTAGTTGTCTGAATATGTAATAAATAATTCTAATTAGATTAATTAATTGATTGGTTGAAGGAATGATAGGTTTGATAAGGACCGGGAAAACTATTGAACGTGACGGCCAACACTATGTTTCGAAAGTACTTTAAAAATAGTGTGTGAAAGGTGACCGCAACGCTATAACTCGAGTTGAATAGGAATTAGATTTAGATCCAAAAAAAAGGGAAACTCAAATTGAAAAAATTTCACGCAGGGACCACACGCTAATATATTTTAATTAGTCTCTGTAAATCATTACATAAACAGAAAAAACCCACCAATCGGCTTTCGAGATTCGCGTTAATACATATATATCAGGCGCTTAATTTTGGCTGTCATGTACAATAGTTTTCCCCAACGTGCATTATGAATTGGCGCGTGTGATTATCCCGTATTTTTTATACATACTAATACTAACACTAATACTAAAAAAAATAGAATCTAATTAAATTTCAGGTGTTAAAGTTTTCAAAAATCAAATGCAAATTTTTAATCTCAGAACCACGTTATCCCGTGTAATAAAATACGCCAATTTCAGTAAAAAGGAATTAGACGTTGCACGAATTTAATCGCGTTGATATATATAAATTGAGGTAACACCATTTTGATATTTTTTTGCTGAAGTTACATAAAAATTTAGGTAGACTTTTAATAAATGGTGAAACTATTATTGGCATAGCAGTAAATTTTTATTATAAGTCATATCCAAAATCAGACAAAATAATTTTTATGCTATATAAAATTATGGGTAAAGCAAAAAATTTTAAAATAAAAAATAGGCGAGGGTTAAATTGTAATTGATATATAAAGTTTCTAAGAGACTCTGCTTATTATTACAAATACTAAATTATTGTCAAAATTTTTATTGTTATTATTTTTTCATAATTGCAGATGATTTTCTTAGTTCTTTAGATAAAATAGTCACTGAAGTTACATGTCTTATATTAATATGGGTAAAGCTTTTAATTTTTTCGGGATGTTATATGCTAAAATGAATAAAGGAGAAAAATGTAAAAAAATTTATTAATAGCCTGAACTATGAATGTTACCTTGATTATAATAATCCGAGTCCTATATATATACCGTAGCCGCAGTAATGCAGTTGTCCCCAATTTTATTTATATTGAACAGATATTTCCGATAGTAATATATAGTAATAGTAATAGATATTCTCTTTTTTTTTCGTTATAAAATTTAGGCTAACTCGTAAAGTACAACTAATTTTATACATATAACGCATATAAATTTCATCATGCCATTCATAGAATGTGTGATATGCAATGTATTGTAATTATATGAGAATATCGTGCAGCGCCCACCTCATTAAGAACATTTCAGAAAAATTCTTCAATGTACATCATGTTCATTCCATCTGATGTCATAATTAAAAAATTTCCCTGCTGGAGAAGTTCATCCATTTATCTGGACCTGATTTTGTTTTAAAAATAACTAACAAGCATACTACAAATCGTTAATCTTCGAATTTACGTTTGTACATTCTAAATTAACAAGTGTAGTTAGTAGATAATGCAATTCTTTTTGGAAGCTTATTAATAAATCTACAAAGAACGGGTTTTCAACGACCCAAAAGAAATTCCACAACACACTTAGTTAAATCATGTGATGAACACCTGAGTTGCTTCTCGAGATGGTCAAAAAATTTTGAATTATCGTTTTTATCATCCTTACCAATTTCATTATAATTTTACAATATGCTGACTATATTTTGAAACCTGAACAAATAGCAATCAGGTAATAATAATATTTTGACAATTCTAAATTGCCATGATTTTCATCGTGATGCTATACGATTTCTTGATCCAATTAAGAAAGCAATTGAGCATATAAATGCCCACTTTTGTCAATTGTTTTCGGCAATTATTAAGGAATTTCCACAAAATAGGAATAATTCTTCAAAAGAAAATATCAATTAGCATTTGGTAAACATCGTTTCATTTGAAATGTGTGTTTTTTTGGTACTTTTTTTCGAATAATATGTAAAAAAAAACCCCCCACTTTGCATTTGGAAAGCTTTAGATGGCTTCTGCTAATACTAATAATTAGTTGCATAATTGTCAAATTATTCATTTAAAATCCAACCATATGATTTTGAATTCGTTTCTGAATTACATTTACGGCGGATTATATGCAAACAGAAAAACAATCACAGAACTTGAACAAGTCGTAATTCAATCATGACCGAGAAATAGTAATATAGTGGTGATAAAGGCGATGAGCAACAAGCTTCATCTCAAATAACTCGTATGGATGATCTGTTATAATCCCAAATACTTGCGAAATGGAATTTGATGTGGAATCAATTGTAAACAATGTAATGTTAAAGAATAATCATTTTTTAATTAAAATTTGAATGAATTTTTAAATTAATTGTTATCGAAAGATTTTTTAAAATATCAAATTTTAAATATAACCTTTAAAGTAAAATACCATGTACAAAGACTTGGTGCATCCCATTCATAATAATCTTTAATTTTGGCAGCATATATATTATGCTTTATATTGTTGTTGGGAACAAAAAAAAAAAATTAAAAAATGTTTTGAATAATTTGAAACTCACTAAAAGCCAAAAATATGCTGAGATACTTTGATAACAATTGGGGTTGAAAAAGAAGCATTTGGAAACCATATCAGCTTGAAAAAGGAGCGCGGGAATTAGAGCAAGCTTGCCACAAATCGTGCTAAACAAACAACAATGGATTGAAAAGAATATTTGCCTTTCCGAGAAAGTTTTAAATTAATATTAATATTACCGTAAAGTCTGGAAAGATAGCATCCCCTTTTTACATATGTGTAACATTTTTTTTTTATATTGACGCTCTATTGTTTTTAAAGTAGGGGGTGCTATCTTTCCAGACTTTACGGTAAGTTAACAGAAGCTTTTGCTTCCGTTGGAATTGGTTTAATTTTATTAATAACTTGAATATTTAAGAGATTTTTATTGAAAAAGCAAACAAGAAATATGAATAGAATAATTGGAACAATTGAAAAAGAAAAAATAGCCAAACAACACCAAAGGAAAAAATGAAGGAGTTAAAGTTTTCCTCGGGTTGGCTTACTGGCAGGGGAGAAAAGAAATTAGTTCAATTAAAAAAAAACTGGATTAACTTATTGAAATTATTATTTGCTTTAAAAATAGTGAAAGTTTTGGGAAAAATCAAAAGGCTTTGTTCTTTTGGTGTCCCAAGTTCTATTCCTATTTAGTACATGTATTTTATTATGGGTATATGCGTCGTCATCTATTAAAATGTAACATTATTATTATTATATAGTGCAAGTCACAACTTCTGTGTCACGCCGCCAATTTTGAGAAAAAATTTCCAATCAAAAATGCAATAAAAATTTTACAGTCGCATGATTTTTGAAGATCATCAAGTGCTAAATAAATAAAGATTTTTCTTTTACATTTATTCCAATATACATATGTAAATGATGATTAGAACAATAAACAACAAAAATAAAGATTATAGTGACGTTATTAAATGTTAGTTAAAATAAAAGAGAAATTTATATAAACTATTGAATGATTGATAAAACCTTCGTTAGTATATTTTGTTCATAGATCTTGTTCTTAAAGCTTACTTCGATTACTCCTACACAAACTATTAAATAATTGATAAATGTTCGTTGGAATATTTTGCAAATTGCACATTTTTTTGATCAATGCAATGTTCTATTTATTAAATTTAAAATAAAATGAACTTGGCTGTTCTTTGTATTTTTTTTTAATAATAAAGATAATTCTCTTCCCGTTCATCTGGAAAATTCACGTGACAAAAGCTCTGCAATATAAGGGAAATTTCTATTGTTTCAATTCGTCTATTTTTAATATTAACTTCTTTGCGTGTAACACGTCATTTTAGGGCTAAACATAGTAAATTCGGTAAACTTGTGCAACTTTAAAGCTCAAATTCTTCACAACAACATGGCATATCAATGAGATGAAATCGTGATTTTACAGAGGAAGGTCTTGGCTTCAAATACACGATTTGTTTTGGGGTGTTGCATTTCCGTTTTTGGAGAATTTGAAAATCTATACAACTAATAAAAAGTTGTGGGACTAAGTGACTTGCATCATATATACAATCAAAATTTTGAATTTTTAGAGATAGTTTCTAAATTTGTGCTACATAGTTACACAATGAGTTTCAAAAATAATTTATTGGTGCAAAGTTTCATAGTGACACGAACTAAAGAAAATATCAGTGATCATTTACTTTTTATGGAACTGAAATTTTGATTTTTGAATCCAAAAACACAATCAGATGGAAAAATTTACCATAGATATTTTAGATAATAAATATTTAATTGATGAAATTGATCGATTTTGATTTTATATTTTACCTTACAGATTCTATAATCATCATATAACTCTATCCTTTGGTCTATCTCTATTTTTCAGAGTTATCGCAATATTTATTTCGAATAGTCATGTGATAATAATTCTAATTCTAATTAAATTTAGAATGAGACATGAAAATCATAATTGGAAATTTCTGTTTAAAATAATTTTTATTTACTCCAATAATTGCACAGCCCTAGCTAAGTATACTAACCCTTTGCTTTGCTATTATAATAATTTGGTCAACAATATAAAAAACCCAATTTCAGGTGTTATCATTTTATTGAATAATGGGATGTTACACTTGTTATTATGCATGACAAACAATATTAATATATCATACTAAAAATGTAATAAACAGTAGGGAAATTGGGAATTGATTGATTATTATGATATTTAAAAAGCCACGTTATCATTATGCCCACAATAATAAAAAATAATAATAGACTTTTAAATGCGATTGTTATAATTTTAATTATGTTTTACATGGGGCACGCCGCAAATATTATGTTGGTTGCAAAAAAAATTTTCAGGGTCAAAATGTCAGACACCGCAATAGTTCCCCTTTTTCTTCTATTTTTGCATCTTATTTCTTTTATACCAGTTTGCCAATTGTCATATTCTTTGCAATAATGTAATGCATTGAAAGTTGAATCCAAGCATTTTTCATCTTTTCTGTATTCTTGACCTTGGTTTTTCGCTAATTGTTTCTGGTCCCTTTTTAGAAAGCAGGTTTTATTTTGTATAACAAATTTATTTATCCACCAAATAAATAAAGTTGAGCTAATGTTATCTGCGATCATTTATTGAACCTAAGAAATTTATACGAGATCAAATTAATAAATGAGAAATCTTTATTTACACAAAGTAATTCAATCTTTTTGATTATTTTATTGAATTGATCAAGGTGATTCCCAGCCTTCCATGAGCTTGCATATACAGAGAAAGGTTGGGGCACAAAAAAGAAATAACGTCCTGATTTAATAATATATAAAAGAAATTATCCTTTTTGTTATAATTTTGATTTTTCCTTCGCAAAAAATTACTGATAATTTATTATTAAATATCGTTAGTCAATTAGATCTCGTACTAATCTAGATATATAAATTTTTTGTGACACAAATTCCATTTCCCTATAAAAAAATGCATTGTATAAATATAAATATTAATATAAATATTCAATCCCCTTTTAGAGGGACGACATAACAATAAGGATTAAAAAAGAGTCACTCGCTCAATTTCTCAATGGGCAAACGGATATTGATATTAATATTAATATTAAATATTAATATCAAATTTAATATTTGGTTGGTTCTTAAACTTTGTACCCTGGAATTAATTCATGACGTAATGTTCATTTTTTTGCAGCATGTCACATTCATCCATCAAATTCACTATTATTCATTACTTGTTGTTTTTATTATTATTCAGGTATACATAAATAAATTAATAAGTAAACAATTAGATTATACTCCTTTCTTCTATTTTCTATTTATTCTATTTTTTTTTGATCTTTTTTGACCTTTACTGTTATTTTCTTTACTCTTCTTGATCACAAAAAAAAAAAATTATTATATTTTATATTTAATATTTTAATTAAAAACTTTAATTTATTTATTCAATTTAATTAATTTTTCAATTAATTAATTTTTTAAGCTATTTAACTTTATATATAAAAAGTACTCCAAGGATAATAAAAACAATAAAATAATCATTAAACAATGTCTAGATTACCAAAAATACCAGTATCAAACAGTTCTTCTAATTTACCTGCACCAAGACGTCGTTCATCTGTAGGTAATCAAGGAAAACCAAACCTTTCTCTGCTTACTCCTGAACAAGAAGTTTTATTAGCACAAGTAATGGAAAGATATGGTTCTAGAAGTAACAATAGTAATGAACATCATAATGCTTCCTCTACATCACCACCACTAACAACTACAACTAGTAGTTCGATTTCACCGCCTCCTGTTTCTTCCAATCAACAACAACAAAACACTACTACATTAAGAAAACCTGGTGCTAGAAGACAAAGTGTCTCTAGAAATACTCGTCCAACTCTTCCGCCGCTTGCTGAATTACCAACATCAAATAATACTACAACATCGATAGCTCCACCAAAGCAATCGGCATCAAAAATATTATCACCACCATCATCAAATAACAACTCATCATCATTAGCAACTCCAAATCAACCTCGTCGTTCACCTTCAAATCAAAATTTACAATCAGGGGGCGGTTTAAAACCTTCTCCCGCTCAACAACGTTTACGAGTTGCCTCCACTCCTCAACGTCCTGAATCTCCATCGCTTTCTTTATATTCAGTAGGCGAACGTGTTAGCGTTGAATCAATGAATATAATCGGTACTCTAAAATACTTGGGTCCACTTGATATTAAGCCAGGAACTTGGGCTGGTATAGAATTAGATCTTCCAGGTACTGGTAAAAATGACGGAAATGTCAATGGGTGAGTTATATCATTCTCACATATATGCAATTCTTAAAATATTTTTAATGTTAAAAAAATATTAAAATATGCACGAGTGTACAATCATTCAAAAATCAAAAATCAAAAAATAATTAATTAATCTATTAAAAATAATGGATTTTGATGAGTATCAATTATTTAAATTTTTAAACTATTTGAGATTTAATGATTTCGATCAAGCAAAAAATCAAAAAATCAAATCATAAATAGTATATATATATTTAAATGATATTGTCGTTCAATCCTTTTTTTTAAATTTTATATTTAAAATTTTGCTTTTAAATGAAGAAAATTTATTAAACGATCTCTTTTTTTTTCAATCTATTCTCATTATTAATTAATTGATTATATTAGAAAATCATATTTTACTTGTAAACCAAAATCTGGAATTTTTGTACTCGCGTCAAAACTTTCAAAAGAAACAAGCTCAGACCAAGATTCGTCTGATCAATCACTACCACCACCACAACGGCAAAAACAAAAATTACCATCATCGGCTAAATCTTTGCAACGTCCATCTCAAATAGGATTGAATAACACAGCCACTCCTTCTGATAATATACAGTCATCATCTAACATGACTAAAAATGCTCAAAATGCTGCAATTGCTGCTTCTCGTATAACTGCTGGTTCTCGCGCTTCAAAATATATAGGTGTCAAAGCATCTCAACTTAAACAAAGAACTTTGTCAAAACCTTCACAAAACACTTCTGCCAATAATAATAATAATAATTCAAATATAGAAATTACACAATCATCAACAACTTCAAATGATTCGCCATATTCTAAATCAAAACAAAGCATTTTAAAACGTCCTGGATCAATTGGAAATCTTAAATCAAATTCTTCTATTCAATCATCATCAATATCATCACCTTCTAGTAATAATAATGCCCTACCAAACACACGTCGCAGATCCAATTCCTCATCATCTAGTGGTTCGGCTGTATCAAATAAATCACAACCCACTTCATCATATCACTACTCATCGAGAATATCTGCTAATAATAAACACCGTAGTCCATCACCAAACCACGCTACCGATTCTCAAACTACCTCCGATACCGAATCATTAGGCCACGCTACCAATAATGAAGAAATGAGTAATAAAATACTTCAAGAAAAAATTCAAAAGTTACTTAATGATCAAGACACTTCTGAATCTGCTCATCATATCAGTTTGTTTGATCAACAAGAACTAAAAATTCAACAATTATTAATGAAAATTGAAATTTTGGAAAATGAAAATACCGATTTAAAAATAAAGAAATCTACATCAGATTCAAATCAAACAGATGTCTCAATGACAGCAAATAAAGAAAATAAAGAAAAATGGGAGGCAGAGAAAAAGGTATTGTTGGACGAGAAAGAGAACCGAGAGAAAACATTAAATCGTAAAATTGAAGATCTAAATAAACAACTTCAAGATTCGGCGAAAGGTCATCATTTCAGACCTAGCACTTCATTATCAATGATTGCAGATGATGATGTGATGAGTGACAAGATATTACAATTAACCGAACTGGTTGAACAAAAGGATGAACAGGTTAAAGAACTCGAGGATGCTCTTGGTAAAGCTAATAAACAATCTGACGAATATCAATCAAAAATACAGCATTTGGAAAAAATCAATTCTGAACAAACCGACAAGATCGAACAATTACTTGTCCAGATATCACCTAATGCTCAATCAGAATTAACCGACAAGATTGAACAATTGGAAAAAACCATTCAAAGTAAATCTGACGAAATCGAGCAATTGAAATCTCAATTGGAATCACAAAAGACCGACTATGAATCCAAGATTGAGTCTATGCAAGGATTAATCAATGAGTTGAAAACAGCAGGCCAAGAAACAATTAATATCTACGAACAAAAAATCACTGGTTTGGAACATCAAGTTGAAGATTTAAAAAAAGCTGGGATTGAAACCATAGCACTTTACGAAGAAACCACCACTAAAATCAACGAAAAAGAAGCAAAAATTAATTCGTTAGAGAAAGAAGCCGAGGAGTTGAGATCGGCTGGTGTGGAAGCCATTGATGTATATGAGAAAACAATTGAAGATACAAAAAAAGAGGTTGAGGAGTTTCGGATCCAGTTAACAAAAAAAGAGGAATCACTTTCTTTGGCCAATAAAGAAATAGAAAAGTATAAAGTGATGCAGAAAGAATTGAATGATGCCAAGGTTAAGTTGGAGTTGAATGAGAAAAGAGAAGAAGGGCTTCGTAACGAGTTGGTAGATATGCAAAGTGGATTGGAACACATGATGAGAGCAGATGCCAAGTCACGTGAACGTATTTACCAATTAGACGATGATATACGCGAATCACAAGCACTTGTTACCAGACAACAAGAAGAAATTGCTGCACTTAAAAGTAATGTGGAAAATCTAATGACAGCTAATAATAGTGAAGAAGTAGAAAAGATTAAATCAGTTTTTGAGAGCGATGCTGAACGATACCAAGAAGAAATTGAGAATCTACGAAAATCTTTATCAGATCTACAAGCCGAGAAACGTGCTGTTATTAACGAAGTCGATAACTCTAAAGATGAAATGAAATTGTTGGAAAGAAAGATACAAGATAATGAACGTCAAAAGAAAGATTTGATTGCTGAATTGGACACATTGAAATTGGGATTACAACAAGGCGAGAACGAAAGAGATCAACTTGCAAAAGAAATTGAAGGATTGAAAGCTAATTTAACAGAATCTGTAGAAAGCAATACTAAACTACTTAGAGATTCAGAGTCAGAAAAGTCAGCATTGATTGGTGAACGTGATAAAGTTAAGACAGAAGTTGAAGAGTTGAATCAACAATTGGAAGAGGTGATTAAAAAAGCTGAACTTGCAGACAAACTCAAATCAGATCTCGAGGTTAAAATAAAAGAGTTAGATCAACTTAATGAAAGTTACGAGCAATTCAAAAAAGATCACATCAAAGAACTCAAGGAGATCGAAACTCAAACAATTCAAGTCGATGATGCTGCAGCCGCTGCTGAATCAACCGAAAAATTGAATGAGATCAAAGCTGAATATGAAACACAGATTAATGCAATTAAAGATGAGAACGAACAATTGAAAATAAAAATTAAAGATTTAGCATTGGCATCCAAGTCGACACCTAAAGAGGTCGAAAACAAGCTTGCAGCGAACGAAGAACAAATGGCAGGACTTAAACATATTGTGCAAGAACTTACAAGAGAAAATGTTAAGATCGCAGGTGAAAACAAGAAAATATTGGCGGAACAAGAAAAGTTAATGGAAGCACATAAACAAGTTGAGAATGAATGTTTTAAATTGATGGATGAATTGGAACGATTACACAGCGAATCACTTGGCGGACAAGGTATTTTAACTTTAACATCGCAGGAGGAATATAAAACCAGTGAAGAATCTCATAATGTTGATAATTTGGAAGGAGAGGCTGCACAGCCACAAACACCACCACAACAACCATCCACGCCAACTACAGTCTCAACATCTACAAATGGTCACCCAGCTGGTGCAGATTTATTACGACTCCAATCATTGTTATCAGAAAAACAAGTACAATTAGATCGATTGACCTCAATGCATAATGCAGAAATACGAGAATTGCGTCAGAAAGTAGCAGAATTAGAGAAGGCTAAACAAAAAGAAGTCAGTTCATTAAATAAAGATGTTGCTGAATTGGAATCTTTAGTCGAGAGTAAAATTTTTCGTGAGGCAGATTTAGAAGAGGAGATTCAACGTGAAAAACGTACCATGAAACTTTTAAAGGATGAGGTTGATGACTTGAAAGAACAATTGAAAGAATTGAGAACTAATGGTGGTGGATTGGTAGACCTTAATGAATTAGTTTCTGAAAATGGTGTAATGAATTCATCACGATTGTCAATTAGTACAACAACATCGTCAACGCCTGTAACAAAAGAAAATGGAGGTTCAACATTATATTGTGAAATCTGTGAAGAAGAGGGCCACGATATTATTAGTTGTAAAGCAGTATTTGGATCTCAATCTGAACTCACCATTGATCCAGACGAGACGTTTGGGATTGTACAGGATAAAGCAGTACGTAAAGTTTAATAGTAATTTATTTTATATATATATATATGTGTGTGTGTGTGTGTGTGAAATTTATACTAATATTGTCTTTGATGTTTTTAGTATTGTGATAATTGTGAAGAATATGGGATCCATTGGACAGAAGAATGTCCAAATCAAGATGAAACATTTTAATAATAGTTATTATATGTAATACGGATTTTATTTATTTTATTTTAACGATATTTAATTATGATTGATCGTTGTAATATCTGTTAATTTGATCCGTTTAATTGATCTATTTAATTTTTGCATATTTTTATTTGCTTTTTTTTTTTTTTATGTATAATTATTTTCAAAAAACCTTTAATTATTATTTGTAACATATTTAATTGCTTCGTTATAATATTTAATATTAATAATATAATTTGAATAAAAAATTATAGTTTTTTTCAAAAAAATTTTGGGGAGTAATTTTATTTTTTGGTTGTTATTATTAATTTCATAAAAAATTAAATTTTACATTAATATGAAAATATTTTTATATATCATTAATTTTCTTCTATTATTGTTTTATATTAATTATTAATATTATTAATACTATTAATTATTATATAAATTTGTGATTGATATTATTATAAAAGAAAACTATTAATAATAGCGTATATTGATAATTTATCTCATAAAAGAAAAATGTTAATAATAATCTACATTACAAAATACTCTTAAGGTTTATAATGGTCATTAAATTTATCATCACTTTTTTGTCTCTCCAAACTCTCGGTCTTTTCAACCAATTGATTGATTGATCCGATCGATTAGTTGTCCTTGAAAATTTTGTTATTGTTGTTTTTTGTTGAGGGCAGTTATTTTTTTAATTTCAGCAACACGGGGCAAAAATCCGAGATCCCATACAATATTGTAATTATCATCTTTATTCAACGAAATCAATCTAATGTATTGATTGAACACGATCCAATAATAAGTACCTATCGCGGTTAAACTCAACGGTAAATAAATACCATATTTCCTTTTGTGACCTGTCTCAAATCTACAAAAAGAAAATTTTTATTAATCACAATAATTAAATAAATTTGTAAATAAATATGCATGGCTTACATATTATATAATAATATACAAGTTCCATAAATCACTTTGTATTATCAATTAAGAAATGATTAATAATATGGATGAACAGGTAGAAAAAAAAGAAATAAACCATAATCCATCCATACTTGGAAGTTCATCTAATAATTGAAATTCATATAATAAAGTCATATGAAAAAAAAAAGATCCTATTCCAATGAATGATATTGCTGCATAAGCTAAAAGGAATCGCTTTTCAAAACCCAATCTCCATGTATTATAAAACCCATAGAAGGCCAAAAAAACTTTAATTTATTGACGTTATTATAATTATTATATATAATGATTTTGAAAAAAAAAATTTTTTAAATAAAAAACAACTTACCAAAAATAAAATTTGTTGTAGTGTTGATGAATTCTGCTATGTATTCATGTACGTTATAATTTTCCTTTTTATTTGTTATTACAAATAGTTTTCAGAAAACAATTAATAAAGTTTAGACGAAATTCATGATGTTTATAATAATGCTGCTGCTGCTGCTTACTTCACACCAGTCCAATGTTGCGGTGCTGAATGAAGGGAATTATAGGAATTGTATTGAATTAGAAGAAATATAAAGAAAAAAGATTTTGTTTAAAAAAAAACTTACACACGTCCCCAATAAGGTAAATTGTTTTTGTTATTATCGTTATCCATTTTTCCAAGATTGTTTTTAATAAAGACAATATCCTCTCATGTAATTTATTAGAATAAAGTAAATATAATAATAATAATTCACAAAATAAATTCTAAATTAACTTTATATGAGGCTATTCCTCTTGAAAAATAATTAAATATATATATATATATATATACACACATACATATTTAAATTTAGCATCGAGGATAAGATATTTTATTATTTTTAAAACTATATATATAATTTTTTAATTTTCTTTATTTATGCATGTGAATAACTTTTTTTAAACAATAAATGTTGTTTCACAATAGATTTTTTCCGAAACTTTAAAACTTTTAAAAGTAAAATATAAATAATAATGTCTAAAGAAGTTGTTGATGTTGCTGCTGATGAAAGTGGTCAGATTGATAATGGGAAAAAAAATATACTTCAAGAAGAATCAATAATTTTGAATGTTGGGGGTGTAAAGGTATTATCATCATCATCATCAATGTATTTATTTATCATTGTTATCATCACACAATGTTATATTAATATTAATATTATTACATTAATGTTATCAAATCAATGTCATATGTAGTATGAAACATATCGTTCAACGCTTATAGCATATCCACACACATTATTAGGAATAATGTTTGCAGAACGTAATGTAGAATTATTGAGGCCAATAAATGGAAATGAATATTTCATAGACAGGGATGGATGTTTATTTCGTATCGTGATGCAATTTTATCGTACAGGGAAAATTCATTGGCCATCTTTTGAATTTGTTCCAAATAAGTCAATTTTGCCAATATCAATAGAAGAAATAGAAACAGAATTAGACTATTATCAATTACCATATCAAAAGCTTTCATCCAAACAATTTTCACATATGGTTTTATCTCGGAAAGATTTGGGACTTGCGTTTTCTTGTAATCCGGTAGTGGAAAAATTAGATGAATTTATCATGGCATTAAGAAATGTGATCAAAGAGGTCATGGCAGTTTTTGAAACCGAATTGATAATAACTTTTAGCAAGAATGGCTTTAATCCGTTTTGCAAGTTTGGTCTTCATTTTATTAAAGGTTCTTCTGTGATGGATATTATCGAGAAAACTCTTAAACCATTTGGATCCGTTGGCTACCTGTTAATACACAAGTATGGTGCTGATATTGGGTCTTATTTAAAATCTGTAATCCCTGAATTAGCCTGGCAATATGGCTATTCACAAAACAGGGACCAGATTAAATTACATATTTCTGTCAGAAATTCGTTATCGGACTCTGAAATTTTTGATTGTTCATGTTTGGCTTCTAAATCGGACAATTAGTATTATAATATATTATTTTTTAATTTAATATTTCCAACATTTAATTAAACACTTGTACAATCAATGATTTTAATATTTATTTTTTTCACATATATTAGAATTTAAGAATTAATAAAAAAAAATTTTTTATTATTAATATAATGAAAGGTTAGCTAGCAGTGATTTATTTTGCGAAGGAATGATGGCTGGTTCCTTTTTTGTATCAAAGATCTTCATATTAAATCATCATCACACATAAATTTTTATATTAATATTACTAATATATGAAATTGGTTAATTTGGTCAGCTAATTTTATAACAGCAGTTGTTGATAAAAGTTGTTAGTTTGAAGTAGGTTGTTAGTAGTAGTCTTCAATAATAAAATGTTGAGCGCGTTTAGTTTGGTAAACGGCATTTACACCAAGAACTACCAAGCCCATCCAGTATTAACATTAGCCTTTACAAATGGAAATTTAATGGCTTTGTCAGATATACTAGCACAATCTATTAATATTAACGTCAATAGAAAATATCCTAAAGATGAATCGGAAGGAGCTAAAGAACGACTACACAGCAACGAACATTTTGATTACCCAAGACTTTTACGATTTTCACTCTACGGATTCTCAATTGCACCAATTGTTCATTCATGGTTCTCGCTACTTGATAGAAAATTTCCATTATCTACCACCACCACCACCACCACCACCACTATAAAAACAACAACATTTTCATTAACTCCTGCATCAATTTCTCCTTCTCCCCCTTCTGTTTCTTCCAACACTTTTATAAAAAAGAATAATATGATATTTACAAATACTTTAAAAAGAGTAGCAGTTGATCAAATCTTCTTTGCACCTTTTGGATTAGTTTTTTTCTTTGGATTTATGGGCATTTCCGAGGGTCATGATTACGATGGAATTAAACTAAAATTTAACGAGGTATGTATATATATATTAAACAAATAAGATCAATTGAGTTTTTTTTTAATTACTTTTTAAAAATTTCATAGGGATATTTTTCAGCCTTAAAAGCCAATTATACAATTTGGCCATTAGTTCAACTTGTAAATTTTCGTTTTCTTCCTTTGCAATATCGAGTACCTTTTGTTGGTTCAGTTGGTGTTTTATGGTCAACTTACCTTAGTCTTTTAAATAGCAAGACTGAACTTTAATTTTTTTTTTAGAAATCAAAATAAACAAATATTTAATATTAGTTTTATT